TCACTGAAGCAAACTGACGGCTGTCAACTCCATCAACACCAACTTTCACAAAAATCCGCTTGCTCAGCTCTGCGTTCACACTACCAGCGAAGGGGTGGGAGAATTCGGCATCCTGATATGGAATCATCCTGACCTGATATGTCTCTTGACCAGCAGGAAGGTTCATGTGCACAGTGCTGTTAAAATAAGAGATATTTACAATTAATTTATTCTTCTCCACCTACCTCTACCTCTCCAGAGGGTTGATGTCCATGGAAAGTGTTTGGGTTTGTGAGTAAACACAGATGAAAGGAAGCTTCAGAATTATTTTCCTGCTGATGAGATGTCCAGCTGAGTTTGGCTCCCCCACAATAAAGTTCTTATAGATGAAGTGGGTGTCATTGGCCTGGAGGGACATATTATTTGAATATATATGTACTTTAAAGTATGATTTACAAAATAAACCATTCAAATATGACCATTCAAATATGTACACAATGAATCCTACCGTAATTCCATGCGGAACCACAGACTTGTTTACGACATAAACAATAAAGACACAATATTGTTCATTATTGTTCAATTGCTTCATATCTGCTAACTATTTATTGTGCTGGTCTCCCAAAAGACATTCTACAGACCATATGTAACTTTGCAAGTACATGTCAACTTATTGTAACCCTAACCCTACCATGACTACAAATACTCTACTAACATTCTAATGAGAGTTAGTAGATATGTAGGTGCATCTTATAGTCAACAGAATGCATTAAAGGGACCATCAAAATAAAGTGAAACCCAGGATTGTAACCTTCTATTTGGCACATATTAATAAAATCTTCATCTACATCTTCACTGCAACATAATTTGTATCAGTATACAAGGATTAAAAGTAAATAAAAAATAAACAATATCACAAAAACGTTGCTGTATAATAATTTATATCAAAAGATGACTGAAAGAATGAGTGGAGCCAGATGAGATTAATTTTACCTGAGATGAAATGCTGCTGCTGCGTACAGGCCTATTAGGGTGATTGTCTCTTCCACAGTTCAAACTAAATACAGTCATGTTGAACTGCAGGTTTTAGAGTCTTATAATTTTGAAATGGTAGGCAGAACATGGTTGGACCTAGGAGTTATTTTTATTTTTGTTTAGCAATACTTCAAACAAGTTTTTAGACATACCATAAATTCTCCCCACCCAACAGCATATTATGGTATGGTTTGGTATGTGTTTTGACAGATTCTTCAGTCTACGAATGAAACCTTTCTTTTGACATTTTAAAGTAGAATGACATATGTACCATGTGCTTAATGCAAGAGGATGCATGATCACTTTGTTCGTGAAATCTATTTTTTTTCCCCAAAACATACAGTGCTGGTATAAGACATTTAATTTCACAATCTAGCTGGTGTTCTTCTTTTATCCTAGCAATAGGCATGTGTTGTTTGTACAGTCCTATTTATCTTATAGAACAAGTGTGTTAGCAGCAGTTGTTATTTTTTATGGCACTGCTGCAGTTTAGTTTGATTTATTGAGCAAACTTTTTTTAAAGCAACATACAAATAAGAAAATCACAAACAATCTAATTTGTATCAGGAGCTAAGTATTCATCAGTACACAATTCCAGCTTTAATGAGTAACTTTAATGTGCAAGCGAGAATAATACACAGAATAAAGCTTTGAATGTCAATAGCATGAAGGTCTCTTTCGATATTTGTTCCCTTGCATTTGTTTCCTGCCTTTGCCTAGTAAATTCAAACTGCCAAATTTGTAAAGAATCAGAGGTACTTCATGTTAGTATTAACAAATTAGTCTGCGAAATGATTAAATCATTATGCTGATTAATTCTAAATCCATCAATTTTATGTGAAGGTTTCTTATGTACAGTGCATTTTTTCAGTAAAATTACAAATATGCAAGAAATCAGTAAAAACTTTGTATCAGTAAAGAATGAAGAGAAAACAGTCATCTCTGTTAACACAAGAACACTAAGAAAAGTTTCTATTCCAGTAATATGTATGACTAGGTCAGAAGAAAAAAATTAAATAAAAACGCTGCAAAACCACTCTGGCTGTGTCTGTGTGAGTGTATAGCTGATTTGGTTTGAGATGGTTTATGATAGGATGTAGCCTAAGCCTGACTCAGTATAATAGCTGAACTAACTACATTGTAACAAACAATAGAAAAAACAAAATCACACACACACACAGAAATGACAAATATGTCACCAAAACACAGAGAAAATCAGTTTATTGTGATTTGTTTTATCTCATTATTTAATATGCTTTATCCTCACAATAGTAATAAGACTGTTTGATTTAGAAAACATTTTAAAGGTTGTGATTTTTAACAATCACCCAAAGGTCACATTTATAGAAAGCTTGTAACAGTTTGGCATCAGTGTCACATTCATCGAGAAAGAGATATAATAAAAATATAAGAATAGACGTGTTAAAACATTAGGTTGATTGTCAGTGGAAATATCCTAGCAGAATATCAGGAGACTCATCAGAGAAATAACTGATATAGTCAGAGAACCCAACAGACATGGAGCCCTGGATACTAGCACTTGGCGTGGCATCGGCGTATCTGTGAACAGAAATTATACAGCAGTCAGTTGATTGCAGCACTTCACGAGTGCTGATATTTACTTAACAGCACTTTTTACTTTTTTTATAATTTCTATGCATAGACCAGACCAGAGTATGTGAAGGTTGTGGAACTACAACACTCTTTTTTTTATGTGATATTGAATTAAATTTAATTCTCTTTTTGTTGTTGTTTTGTTTCATAAGTTACCTTTGTTACTGTCAGACCACATCAATGGACCAAGGGATATTGAAGTACTGTCATGGAAATCCACAGATCTGCCCGCTCTATGGTGGTGTTCAGGGTCACAGTGCTGAAAGACCGATGAAAAGACAACAATTTGTGTCAGTTTAAGTTAACATCAGTCGTATCAGCCAAAGGGGTTGAGGGTTTGCTAGTCAGCATGGCCCCATCAGCCCCTACTGGTGGTTTATCGCAATTGGAAACAAATAGCATCTTTCTCCATTGACCGTCGCTCAAAAGTATCTTTTACTTAAAGAAAATGGACAACATTTACTAATAACAACAATTATGACCATGTCCACAAGAAAAATCTGAAAGGTTTTATTACTTGTAATTTGTACACTCACCACTGAGCAGTGATTGTCTGTCAGAAGGCAAAGGTGAACAGCACAGTGCAGGTAAACCTTGGTGGAGTCTGCAGTGAAGATAAACATCTCGAAGGAGAAACGGCTGGATGTAGAAACACCATTTTGCAGCAACTCCACTGTATCATCATTAGGATTGGGACACCTGAGCATTTTGGAAAAGTATAATAAAGATATTAAAGAGATAACAAAAAACAAAAATGATTTACTAGGTTAACTATGTTCAAGTATTGCATTTAATTTAAGGTTTGGAAAGATATAAGGGTAAGTAAATAAACAGAAATTTCTTTTTTTAGATAGCGCTAAGTGAAGACAAACCAAACAAAAACATGGACTTGCCTGTCAACGATGAGGTCCCAGCGGAGAGGGTAATGAGGATCGTTCAC